GGGGAAATTGCCGACTGGAAGGGCCAGTAAGAGGGCTGGGGGGACATGTCTCCCCCCCCCAGTCTATATGTTAAAAGAGGCCCTGATGGTTCAAGTAAAATTCTTTCACAAACCTTGGAAGCTACGCTAATATCGAGTCCGTAGTAAAGATGTTCAAGGTATCGGTGGAGTGGAGCTTTTTATTTCCGCTTTGGCAGAGAGAAGTTTTCTACTGATAAGGTAGGCCCTAAGATCTGAATTGTTCGAGTAAAATTCTTTCACAAACCTAGGAAGCTATGCCCCCCCCCCCCTATGGCGAGAAGAGATATTGTACGGTTGTTTGACACTATTTCATGATCTCCTTCTTTGACTAAGGGAATCACTTTGGCTTTCTTCCACGCGGTAGGATATGTGGAAGTGGGTAGGGAGCAGTTGATTATTTCTGTTAGCGGTCCTAGAATAACAGGAAGGCATGCAATCTTTGATGATCCGAACATTTATCTTGTCTGGTCCTGGGGATGCCATTTTTAGATGCGTTTTTACACTCAGACGTTTAATTTTAAGAAAAAAAACTACTAAACTAGTGTTGAAGAAATTTGAATTGATTAACAAGCCATTCTCACAGACGTTTATAATTATATACAAAAAAGTTGAAAATTGAGGAAGGAAATTTGAGTTTATTGAGTTTTTCACTCTATAACAAACATACTTGCAGGGAGGTGAGTCCGGGATTGGACACACCTCGGGTGGCTGGAAGTTTCCCGAACTCACCGAGCGAATTTTTCCACTTTGAATACAGAATATTCCATTTTCATCACACAAAATAAAAAAATAATTATAAAACAATTAAAAACAGTTAATTTATTTTTTTATTTAAATCTTCGTCGGAAATTTGTTCAAATCATTTCATAATGGCCGCCGCCAAAACATCGATCTCGAACCCACCTCCTAAACATACGTCAACAGGTGGGTTCTATAACAAACGTACTTGCAGGGAGGTGAGTCCGGGATTGGACGCACCGAGGGTGGCTGCATGGAAGTTTACCGAACTTATCGAGCGAAGCGAGGTGAGTTCGGGAAACTTCCAGCCACCAGAGGTGCGTCCAATCCCGGACTCACCGAACCTGCAAGTACGTTTGGTTTTTATCCCATACACCGAGCCATACACACATTTGTAGCTCTTCGCGATATATTCGTCGATGTTTTGTGAACATTTTCCCGGCCAAAAAAATCACTGGGCAAGAAAATACTTCTTTATCTACGTCTACATTACCTTTATTGCATTTTTTTCTTTGGTTTTTCTTGAGTCTCAGTATCTTAGTTACCGAAAAAAGTTCTATAAAGTTTAGGTTTATCAGCTAAATCTTGTCCGCCATATTTGTTTAATATTGTTATTGCAACGTAAGCAGTTTAGCGGGTGAGTTCGGGCGAAAAGCAGGTGAGTTCGGCAAAAAGCAGGTGAGCTCAACGACAAGCTCACCTGCTCTATGCTCAAGCTCACCTGCACACAGGTATGGGATAAGAGATTGAACGCGCCTCCTCGTAGCCAATAGGAAAGCCGCTAATACGCTAGGTATGAGATAAATTGGTGAGCGGATTTCCCGACAGGCTATTGCCCAATTGATATAGGGAACCGAGGTACCTACGATTTAACGTCCTTATATCCTTGAATTTGAACTAATTAGTAGCCATAATTGTTTACTTTTATAATTTTGAACTAACTCCAAACGAAGGGCCTTCGCTCGAAACGTCGAAATTCTCCCTATATTTTTCAGGTAGTTGCATCGATACCAACGAAAGCTTGTTTATACTTTTATAATTGTCTACTCTTTTTTGTGATTGCGATCTCGTTAAATAGTTGTACAAAATCTTGCTTTTGAAATTCCTATAATGCAATTTCGTTTTGAATCCTTTTTCTTGAGATTTTTTGTATGTTACGCAACACGCACTCAAAACTAATGAGTATATAACATACCACTTGCTGTTATGAGTATATATCCAAAATTTTTATTTTTCAATACGTTTTTCAATTGGCAAACAAACTTAAAAAGTATGTTTAGTCCTTTATCTGTAAAATAACGCCAAAATGAAGAGATTTTAGATGGTACGCCAAAGAGTAAATGATGTCTGAAGTTCAGCAAGTTTTGCTTTATATATTGCTGTAAATACGATGGTGTCACTTTTAAAGCGTCATTGATAATTGTATTTTAATTAACAATTTTTTGCTATTAGGCTATTTTATGTTTCTCAACTGGCAAATGCATTCAAAAAGGTTGGTAACTGTATAAACCAGAGAATAAAGCTAAAACAAAGCAATTTTGAGATGTAGCTACGCCAAAAAGATTTTCAGTTTTGAACATTTTTCATCGCAAATACGTGACATTGAAAAAAACTGCCTCTTAATTAGACCTCGTATATCTAGTCTATATATAGTTCAGCGCACTTCAACCTTGCTTTTTGCAATGGGTTTTTCATGAATCATTAAATAGAATTAGTATTTTTGCACAAGTGAACATAACAAATCCTACAAGGTGATTGGTCAAATTTGACGTATTAATCTGTTATATTCACCTACAGGTGAATATAACAAAATCGAAATTTTCAAAATGGCGGCTAGCCGTTTTGTTGAAGTTAGTGATAAAGAAATAAACGAAATTAAAATGAATTCAGACCAGTAAAACACAAAAAAACTTGTGCAAAAATACTGAAACAATTATTCGCCTCAGGCTCGGTGATTATCGGGGAATATTCACCTCGACTTAATTTCGGCGAATATTCCCCGATAATCACCTCGCCTTCGGGGAATAATTGTTAATTAAAAATATTATATACTATAGAATAGTATACGTTCATTAATTTGCCTCTTTATAAAATCTATGTTGAATCATAGAATATATACAGCTAATTCAAAAAGGGTTGTCCTTTGCAAACCTTAAACTCTAAACCTTAATCCTTAAACTCTAAGCGTGCAAAGCATAATAAAAGCATCATAGAAATCATATATTTCTTAGAGACATGGTAAATATCTCCTTACGAGAACAATTAATTCACAAATAGCTGCAATATTCAACTACTAAGCTTGAAACTTGTGCTCCCATTAAGCTTTGCGCCCTTAGAGTTTAAGGTTTAAGGTTTAGAGTTTAAGGTTTGCAAAGGACATGCAACATTTTTTGAATTGGCCATATCATATGAGAACCATTGTTTATAGAACCATCATGTATGGACCCATATTTTTCCTTTGGCTGGGTATAAAATAAATACCTTTAGGCACAGAAATGAGGGGTTTGAATATCTTTAGACAACGTTACTGATCACTCGTATGAGAAGATCTTTCAGTCATTAGATCAAAGATGATCAGATCGCATATCGACAACGTCGGGTAGGGAAATTTGGCACATGCGTTGGCGAATCCCTCATCATTGAGTTATAATATATCAAAAAACATAGTCAGTATATCCAATGCTCAGAAGTATTTATTTATTTTCAAACTACAATATTTTAATTTGTCCTTTCTATTTCTATATTAATACTAACTCAACTAAAGTTCTACATTTTTTGTTCATTAATCTTTTTTCCTGTAAAGAGAAGAAATAAAACGCTAGTCAAGATTCTGAAGCGTTCGGGACTGATTTTATTCATTTCGTGCATCATAGTCTATAGGCGAAGGTCATTTTCATATTGCAATAGATATAGCGCCATTTGGATAATCTTTGAATTTATTTTGCCTTTGGGAATTTTTGGATTTATGACGTGTATTAATTAACTCAGTTTTCTTCAGAATGATACTGGCGATTAATTTGGGTGCCCGGATGTATCTTTTCTGTGCTGCGGCCGATTTCGACCTGGATAGTTTATTCCAGTGGATAAATGAAAACGTAAACGGATCACCAAACATCTTCTGATTGAGTGCACTTAATGTTAAATAATATGAAATGTACAGTTTTACACTTTTGCATATATTTTGTTGTTGGTTGAAAAATTAGCTTTGCTGTTCAATGAATGCAAAAATTATTTTGGACTTGTGAAACTCATTAATAATTCATGAAAAAACTCATAAAAGAAATCATCACCGTAAAGAATCGAGTTTGTTTTTCTGTACACGGACGTCCATGTTGTAAATAGTGCATAACGTTCGGATTAACGGATATTAAAAAATCCGAGCTTCGTTACAGACTGAGAACTACCCCCAGACTTCTTCTTGGGATAGTTCTCGGCTTGGCTAATTTTCCACCTTATTACGTTTCGAACCATATTTTAACATAATAATCAGATCGAACTATATTTTAACAAAATAATTGAGTTCAATTAGATCGAATCTGACTTGTATACATACCAAACTAAACATAACTAGTGTACATACCAGGTTGAGGGAAGCTATTACATTTTTGGAACGGGTCCAGTTCCTTTGCCGGTTGGGCGAGGTTTTCCGGATGGCCGTCCAGATGGTCGGGGTCTTGGGGGACATGGTCGTTTTCCCTTTTCCTCATCATATTCTTCATCATTCTCACCACGATGTGGTCGTGGGCAGCCACTTGGTCTGCCACTTGGTCTGCGACTTGGTTTTCCACTTGGTTTTGGTGGATGTCCCTCTTCATCGTCAGCATCTGTACCTTCTTTCCCCTGAAGTATAAAAATGTTTTCCTTTTGTTCAGTGATGAAAGAACGAATCAACAACCATAGTTAACTTCAATGCTAAATACTACACGTAAAGAATGTCATTTATACACGTAAGGAGTTTCAGTTATTGAGAACGAGCATAAAAGCGTTTACCTTACGGGATGGAAGAATTCCAGTTGGGCGAGGTCTACCGGATGGCCGTCCGGAAGGTCGGGGTCTTGGGGGGCATGGTCGTTTGCCATTTTCCTCATCATATTCTTCATCGTTCTCACCACGATGTGGTCGTGGGCAACCACTTGGTCTGCCACTTGGTCTGCGACTTGGTTTTCCACTTGGTTTTGGTGGATGTCCCTCTTCATCGTCAGCATCTGTACCTTCTTTCCCCTAAAGTGTGAAATTTTTTTTCTTTTGTTCAGTGATGAAATAACGAATCAACAACCATAGTTGACTTCAATGGTAAATAATACATTCACGTAAGGAATTTCATTTATACACGTAAGGATTTTCAGTTATTGAAAACGAGCGTAAAAGCTTTTACCTTACGGGATGGAAGGATTCCAGTTGGGCGAGGTTTACCGGATGGCCGTCCGGAAGGTCGGGGTCTTGGGGGGCATGGTCGTTTTCCTTTTTCCTCATCATATTCTTCATCATTCTCACCACGATGTGGTCGTGGGCAGCCACTTGGTCTGCCACTTGGTCTGCGACTTGGTTTGCCACTTGGTTTAGGGTCCATTTCATCATCGTCAGCATCTGTATCTTCTTTTTTCTAAAGTGTAAAAGCGATTTATTTTGTTCAATGACGAAAAAATGAGTCAAGAATTATGGTAGACTTCAATGGTAAATAATACACGTAAAGAGTTTCATTCATTGAAAAAAAGCGTAAAAGCGTCTACCTTGAATTCGCATGGATGTTCATGGCACTGCAATTGGAGAAAAAATGACGTTGAATAAGCAACTCCAATGCATGACTGATTATTTTCACATCCACTCATTATGCTATTACAGATTATCGTATAATAATAAACACAGGAATCGTTCATTTCTTGTTGAATGTACGATTGTTAACGGGAGTACATGCATGTAGAGAATTATATAAAATTAGAAGAGAGGGGTACGCTTCAGGTAGGACCAAAAGTTGTATTTAATGGCTCTAATATAAGTCGGTTTTTGTCGCTGCTAACTTAAATCGCCTTGTGACGTCATTGCGACTTAAGGCGACTTTTGGATTTGGCACAGGCCTATGCCTATCTTATGCTTACGTACTGAGTTTTCAATGAAAAAAACTTACGAAATGGTCCACAAATTCCTTGATACGACCAAGACATCCAATTTTTGCTTTGCACTGACAAAATAGAAAATGAAAATGTTATTTAATTAATTTCAACTGCTTACACTTCTAAGATATGCTTTTAATAAAGAATGTACTTTCAAATTTTTCCGACATGTCTTATAGTCACGTGAAACTTACGTATTTTCCAATATCGAAGCATTTCGTTTCATTTCCTTTCCCGGGAGCACACTTCAAAATGGACACAAAAAAGCCATTATTCACACAATGTGAAGTTGAATTAACTTTAATTTAACCTAAACATGCACTATCCCAAAATTAATGAGTATAAAATCATTCAATGTTAAAGAACAATTTCGACTGGGATAACACACAAACTTTTCGGTTAATTCCAATTTTATAAGTTCAAGCAATACCTTTTCTCGGATTATCTGGCAAAACTTGGGTGCAGGCTTGGGATTTTTTGTTTCTTCACGTTTTGTCCCTTCAGTGGGTTTAAGTCGGTTGAAAAGACAAGCCTGTCATAAAAATAATAGAATCAAGAAAGGAAACAACAAGTTAGATTAGGTTCTGGAAATTTAGAGCTTGTTTCGTAAGCCATGGAATGCGCTCACCTTAATTAAGGCCTTCCCCAAGCGCTTCAAGGGTGGTCGTCCAGATGGGCGTGGTCGTTTTGATGGTAGTTTTCCAGATGGAGATGGTCTTGGTGGTGATGAAGGCTGTAGGATATCAAACCAATTTAGCATTAAATGGTTACGTTGTTAGTTGTATTACATAGATGTAATTTTTCTGAATTAAATACAAATCTGGCATCACATGCAGAGCTTTAGGTTAAAGAATCAAATTTGTTCTAGGCAATAGATTCGTTTTTAACACACTCAACGGTAACTTTCAAAGACCAGAAGTGACCAGGGCCGTACACAGCGGGAAGGGGGGGGGGGGGGGGAGGGAGGCAACTGCCCTCCCAGAGAAGACTATATTTACGATTTTTAGAATGTCATTTTTAGGTATTCTTTGGATATTTGGGACTTTTTTCGGCATATAGGCCTTACTGTCCCCCAGTGAAAAACGACGACCCTGGAATTGACCAAAGTTGTCGAAAATTAGTAACCTTATTTTTTGTCATTTACAAATAATGTTGCATTGGGAAAGTCTCATCACAAACGACAGTTAAGCCAGGCAAGAATCCTAAAAATTCTAACCCTCTTTAACTCAAGAACCAATTTTTTTTTCATGAGCAAGTATATCATATTAAACTATGGAGTCAAATAAAATAAAATAAAATAAAATAAAAATTGTGAAACTCATTAATATTTCATGAAGAAAACAGAAAAGAAATCATGACCGTGAAGGAGTTTGTATATCTGATACAAAATCATGTTGATTTACATAAACGGTAAGTTCAATTTTCTCAACAAATATCATTCATTTTAAATGGTTGAAGAACACCAATGTTCTCAACAAGACGTTTCACAAGCCATTTACAACGTTCGCCTCCGTGTTGTATCGAATATACAAACTCTCGCGTTCAGGTCGAGTTTGTATATCCGATACAATAGGGGCACTCATGTTATAAGTACTAGTTAGAACATTCGCAGCCGATCTTTATCTGATATACAAACTCGAGCCGAACAAATTTACAAACAATGATTAAACATTCATTTCTTTTGTAATTAGTAATTAGTTAATAGTGCTTATTAACAGACTTGCAAGGCTATATATTTAAGCATGTCAAATTTAATTTTTTACACAAAATATACTCGTATTGATATTAAAGAGGATCGTGAATAGGACGGGGTTTCAAGATCCTATTTCCCAGCCCATATTTTCTCTAAATGCCTTGCCCAGCCTAGCCTCCTCTGCAGTCATCGCTATAGGGATAGGGTTCCAAAAATATCACCCTAACCCTAGACAAAGGGATTCCAGCAGAGAATGCTCTTCCAAAGCATTTTTTAGACCAAATCCCACTGATGACTTTATTTAAAACGTAGTTCTACGTTAAATTGCTCTTTAGGATTATCTTTTCCGAGGGAAAGGTTTGAAGTATATAAACCAAAACAAACCAAGCCCGCTGTTTAAGCAAAACACTGGCTCGCAGAAAATGACCTTATTGAGCAGAAAGTCGATTAAATGCACATTTCCTGGACTTCTTTCCTTAGACAAATTTTCTTTCAAAGGTTGCTCTGTAGCTTTCCTTAAAGTTATTTCATCCTGAAATTACTGATGGTTTTCTCATTCCCATGCACTTTTGTGTCTGTCAACCCCATTCCCAGTAACCTAAAATCATTTTCCCAGCCGTCCAAAAGCAGGCAAATCCCAGTTCCCGTTTTACCCATTCAGGACCCTTTTCTGTTTACTGACCTTTTCATCTTCAAATGCCATGAACTCTTTAAATTCATAGTCATCATATGCACTTACAGCGCAAAGCGCGGCAAACAGAATCAATACCGCTAAAGTCTTCATGTCTCTCGCCTGCTGATACACAAGATACGCTTATCTCACAAGACAAGTTGTAAAATGCAGGTTGTTGGCGCCTCTTTTATACTTTCTAGCGAATGTTAATAAACTTCGTTGAAAATTATAAATGTAAACAAAGTAACAGCTGAACATAAAACAATTTTGAAATTCTCCTGACTATACGTTTTACCGTTATGCAATGAAATAACCTTATATTAAATTAGTCATATTTGACATTTATATTAAACTGCTGTCGGTACTCAGCATAGAATTAGAAACGTCAAGTAAATGGTAATTCTGTAATATGTGTTTAAACAGCAGTTTTTTGAAAACTGACCACCTGAAGATCTTCAAAAAAAGTTAAAAAAAGCAAACAAAAGTTAACAAAAGTAAAAAAAAGTTAGATGTCTTAGATTAGGGTTACAATTTCCATGTGAGATCATCTTGCCTTATAAAAAAATATGAAGGTGGTTCATATCTTTACATATCTCATTCGGCTCTACTTTCCCTGGCAAATCTAAGTTGGTCGGCAAGCAAATTCTGTCAAAAAATTATTGGCCATGCAAATATATATCAAATTAATTATACGAGCAAGTTTTATTGCAATAATATTTGCTAAATGTCGGTAACACCAAAGGTCAATGATATTATTTGCCAAGAAGGTAAGACGGTGCCAAATAAAGGGCGGGGGTTAAAAAATATTTTCCAGACATACCATTTTTCAGTAACCTCTAAACTAATGTACCGTCATTTGCTAAATTTTTCGTTAATTTATAAAAATTTTTCCTATAACTATTACTTTTTAATCAGAGCCACTCAAATATTAAGACTACGAAAGCAATTTGCCGATAAATAAAGGTCCGCTTACACTTGCAATTAGAGAGTTTAAGATCTACGACGCGGCCGGCTCAACGACGCGCTTGCGAAAGAAAGAAATTTGTCATGCAAGACAAAAACTGTGAATAATTTGTGGTCCCAGGAGTATTCTCAACGGCTTTGTCATGCTCAGCAGAACATTAAACTAAGCATTATCACGTCTTTCAAGCAACGCGAAGCTTATTGCGACCCAAAAGGTGATACTTAATGTCGAAATTACAGCAAACATTGCATCGCTTTAGTCAAACTTAGCAGTTTGTAATGTTATATGAAAATCGTCAAACATTTATTACAGTAATGAAATTGCTTAGCGTTCATTTTTTAGCTGAAATTCAGACCGCGTCGTTGAGCCGGCCGCGTCGTAGTCTTAAACTCTCTATTTTCGCTGCGATTTCTAGTGCGATTTTCTTCTTGTGATGGATGTGAACGAGTAGATGAGTTATGATTTGAGTCTTCTTGTGATGGATGTGAACGAGTAGATGAGTTATGATTTGAGTCTTCTTCTGATGGATGTGAACGAGTAGATGAGTTATGATTTGAGTTATGATTCATAATTCTTCCACTCGTTCACAACCATCAGAAAAAAATTGCAGCAAAAATTGCAAGTGTAACTTTTCCAAATAGTGCAATTTTTTAAAAGTTGGGGGAGGGGGCTGGTGCCGCACCAATACCCCCTCGCTACGGCCCTGACTAAACAGTCTGTGGTGTAGGTTGAACTAAACAGTGTCAGAAGTTGGCAATATCAACTTTTTTTGCCAAAGTACACAGCTGTATACAAAGTGTATACAGCTGTGTTGGTCTTACAACAGTATGTGACCTTTCTGGCGTGAAATTTACATAGCTTTAAGGCTGCCGGGCATATATTAACGTTTAGTTACATGCCGGCCAACTGTTTTTTGTTTGTACTTGTACCAACAGATATTAGAGACTTTTGTTATGCAATTATATGTGGCAATGCAATTTATATTTCCACAACGTTTCGAACAAAGGTCAAGAAAGGTGTCAAACTTTAATTTTGTGAGAGAAACTGCATGGATGTTGGATTTTTTAGAAGGTAAATGCTCATATGTTCCAAAACACGACCGTGTAGAATACTAGACAAGCAAGCCGCGATATATAGCTAAGAGAAAGACGCAGCTTAACCAGAACGACTTGAAGGCTTTCTAAGAGCGCATCTGCATGGCAGCCATCTAATTAATGGCCCACATGTAATCATGGAGCACAGCAATGGTGCAACGGTCAGTTAGTTACGGGCTAGGGGCTAATGCCATCCCACCCTACCAACCCTCTATATGAGAGTGAATGACACTTCACATGAACTTGAGTGCGCAGCGACCAGAAAGGTGAAAGGCGCTTGCTGTGACGATTGTGCAACGAAGCCCCGATTGCACAACATATTTTCGGTTTATCTTGCCGGGGAGAATCCTGCATGAAGTAACTGACGATGTGTAATCCCTTACTGCAGCTGAGAGTTTAGCAGATTTACGAAGGGCGCAGCTCAACCTCACCCAGTCAAAGGGTTACTAGGGCGTGCGACAATGTAAGGGTTAGTTTGGGATGTATCCTAAGTCCCAACCCTGCCAATATTTCCTGTTGGAGGAAACAGAAGTACTCTGAGAAAACCCATAACTTTTTGGTATACAGTATGACGAACGATAATACATGTCATGAGTGCACAGCCAGAATGCAATCCTATTACCCTATTCATTTATCAACTTTACAATAATATACAATCAATTTTAAGAAAACAACAAATACTTTAAGGTTAAAGGTATGGTCAACAGGACAGGAATCCCAATTTAAGACCAACCGAACAACGGCACTAACCATAGTTGTGAACTGTCTGTGCCAGTGTAAGCGCATGGTTCCAATAATATAAACAAGCTTTCGTTGGTAAGGATGCAACTACCTGAAGGTACGAAGGGCCTTCGCTCGGAACGTCAAAATTCTCCTTATATTTTTCAGGTAGTTGTATTCCTACCAACGATAGTTCCTATTCTTAAAGACACAAATGCACATTTAACATGCTGATACATTTGAACAAATACTGACATGAAACGTGCATGAACACAACCCTCAAGAATAACAACTTGGGTTGTCAGAACGACACTTTGAACGTCTTCGATTTACATCAAAGGTCGATTCAAGTTTGGAAAAATAGTAGGCATAAGGATTGCGTTTGGAAGAGGAAGGACATATCGAAGTCTTGGAAGTGTAGGACATGTTGAGGGGCGAATTTAGTCGCTGGTCTCTGAACATCCTCCAACAGAGCAAGATCATGTGAAGGGCATTGAGGAGCACACATCTCACTGGCATAAGTTAAGTGAGATCTAACCAGAGCGAGATAGAGTAATACAGTTTTTGAAAAATTCACGATTTAGATCCACATTTTTGGACAATATTATTACTTGTTGAAAGGCAAAAAGTATTTTACTGATGTAAAACAACATCTAACGGTTTGAATTTTGTCATACAAGTTACACAATTGCCGTTGCTATGGCAACAACGACGTTTCAAAATGCCCTATATTTTGGCTTTGAAGTAATTAACTATTAAACGACATCGTAACCCCCAAATTTTATTTCATAAAATGATTTCTCTTCGTATACTCATTTATTTTGACAATTTAAAACAAATTCTGTTCAGCCGAAAAAAATTTATTATGAATAATCACATTTACGTAATTTGAAAATTTTTGGCTAATTTCCGAAATATCACCAAACAGTAGGTCAAGAAAATATGTTTGCAGGGGGTAGGGTGTCCCTCTGTATTCGACCCTGCACAGGTATTCACGTGAACCTATAAATCTCTTGTCATCCAATCAAGGACATGTATGTGAACGACATTGAGCATCATGCAAAAACAACCAAATATTTATGGCAAAGAAAAACACTCGTTTCCAAGACAAATTGACGCACACCGCACTAAACGTTTTAATTAGCATTGAGACTATAGCATTAGCATTTGCCTCTTAGCAGTGAGATTAGCATTTGTGGAATACGAAAATTTTAATAAATTAAAAATAAATATTACCAGACTGACTAAAAACCCGGAACGTTATCCGCAAGACACAAACTATTCAGAACTCAAGTATTTTAGTCCAATGATATAGCTCGCATGAAAAGGAAAACCATGCCCAATTACTCTGAAATTTTATAGTAAAAAGTCACTAATCAAAGAGGTGAGGCTTCTATTAAGTTGGCAAATTAGGAAACTTGATAAATGCAGGGGTTGTTAGTTTTGCAAAGCCAGTTAAAGGGTCTAAGAATATATTTAGGTTAAGGCAACAGACCTTTCGCAAGACAGCGTCACTACCTCGTCCCAGGCTGTTTTGCGCCGTCTGGGAAGTAATTTGCCGAATTGTGTTGAACTATGGTTGAACAAGCGGCAGAAATATCATGACTCATGAGCGACGCATTGTTGAAATTTCTTACGTATGGTATATTTATCACTTATTTACTGAGACCGAGGAAAACAGTGTGTTTTGTGGACCCGAGAATGCCATTGTTGTCCGAGGCGAAGCCGAAGGCAACAACGGCGGTCGAGAGGTCACGAAACACACTGCTTTCCCGAGGTCTCAGTAAATAAGTGTTTTGTTATATAGTATATATAAGTGTCAAAGTATGAATAATTCACCGGTTATTGGAGTGAACTATTGGAGTGTGGGTTTGCGATAAACATCAGTCGTAAACCCACACACATAGACAAATACTTGTCATACGACTCTCATCACCCAGTAAGCCATAAAAGATCCGTAGAAAAAACTTTGCTTCAAAGAGCTGAATCCTTGCCGTCAAACAGTGATTCTCAAGCTAATGAACGTGAATATGTTCTAAATATTTTAGGGGAAAACGATTACCCAAAAAGTTTTCTTAATGATTGCCTGAGATCACCTGTTTGTAGAAACCAAAATAACTCCGAGGGTGATACCTCTGTTAAGGGTTATGCAATAGTTCCATACATTCAAGGTATCACAGAACCAATCAAGAGAATCTTAAGTAATTGTAATATTAAGGTTGCCTTAAAACCCTATTTGACTTTAGGCCATATTTTCGCAAAGCCAAAAGATCAGTCCTGTTAAAACAAATCAGAAAACTCATGCTGTATATTCTATACCATGCGGTGACTGCGAGAAAGAGTATTTGGGTCAGTCTAAACGCCAGTTTGGTACACGGCTAAAAGAACATTAAAAGGCTGTTTCAACTTTAGACAAGGGAAAATCAGCTTTAGCCGAACATGTATGTTACACCAAACACGAGATTGCGTGGGAAAACTCTAAAGTGATTACCACAAACAATCGCTATGGTCAAAGACTTTGCCTAGAAGCGTGGCATATAAATATGAGTAATCATGCTTTGAATAGGGATGACGGTGCCTATTTGCCAGAGGAATATATGCATCTCATTGGCAGGTGACGTCATCCCTTGGGTATTTAAGAAGCCACGATTGCAATTTTAGATAATCCCTGATGAAGACACTAGACTGGAGTGCCGAAACGTTGGGTCTTGATTACAATTCGACTGGGCTTTGTAATCATTTATTTAAACCAGAGTAGCGAGCGAAACATGAAAGATTGTTATTGTCTAAAATATATGGTCGGACCGGCCTTCTTCTGTTAGACTGATCGACAAGAAATGAGATATTTTGTATACACAATAAAATTAAAAAATACAAATAGTAAGCGGAAAAAAGCTTATAGAAAGGTCAACACTATAGGTACTAAATTTATTTTAAAAATATCGTGAAACTATATGAAATTAACCAAAATATAACAGCACGATTTCAGAAAATGTACTAACCAAAACCGCGCAAAAGTGTGCCGGAAGAAGGTTGTGAAGCTATATCTTGGGAAACGTCTATAGCCAATATAAGTTAACATTTTTATAAACCCTTAACATTGATCTTCAAGAACGTTCGACGTGTAGATGCATGCACTATCAAGTGGTCTATATACTAGCTGTTATGGAATTTAATAAATTTGGTTTCAACTAAGGCAATTTCTAAGTGATGGCGCATTTCAGATCGTTTACCGCTTGTCTCCTAATAAGTTCTCAATTCAATGTTAAGAAATCATCTACTTTTCCCTATATTTTCTCTAGTTTCTTTCTTCGCTGTCTTTAGAGCAAATAAAATATCGTCCTTATTAACATTCAATCGTATTCGTTGCTGAATATCACATCTCCCAGAATCTACCAGTAAAAGTCTTATTGCTCCGAGACGACTGCAAACAGTGAATGCAAGTGACGAAGCTGGTGCAGATACTCCTATATGCGGAAAATAAATAGAGGATATTACATGGCGGCGCGAAGATATGACTTCTATCTTCGAGTGGTGAAAATAATATTTTTCGAACGAGCGCAGCGAGTGAGTAACATATTGTTTTTAACACGCGAAGATAAAAGTCATATCTTCAAGCCACCGTGTAAATGTTCTCTTTATTATATAGTCTCAAGCAAAAAATTGTGAAATTTCACGCTCAAAAGCAAATTGGAAAAAGTCACTTGATCGATATCTTCAATAGTGAAGATATGGAAAATATCTCACTGTGTATTTTTCAGTATTTCACTCTCTACTATATAATAAAGCTAGTTGTAAGCATGGGATAAGATATTAGTATAACACCAAATTTGATTTAAAAAAACACTTTCGATAATGAATTTGTGGTGGACTGAGGATTCCACATTTAAATTTTTATGTATATAGATATATATAGTAAAAAAATCAATGTGCCAGTACATGACCACGATTCATAACAATAATTATATCTCGCACTTATACTCTTCTTATTTAGCTTAAAATTCAATTCACGTGATATATAAGGTACTATATATATATATATATATATACTACTAACAGTAGTTAACATTCCCAGTTTGTATATAGGCATTTTTAACGTAAAACCAATCGTATACTGTTTGCAGCGATGAAGACATCAGCTTACATAACTAGTAAATTGTAACCGTATACTACATCTGTGCGGGGGCGGGTTTACTAAAGTTGCAAGACTATTATTATTGAAAATATTTTTGTTAATACGTTAACAATACCGTATTTACTTTTTTAAGCGCCGCGGCGCTCTTTAAATTTTTAGTGTTAGCGATGCGGCACTTATTTGAGGGCGGCGCTTGTTCGAGGCGCTCTTTAAAAAATGTTTTGTTTGTAAACGATATTGTGATAACAAGAAATATTAACAAGAAATATAGGCTAACATAAAAATACTGAGAATGCAGAAAAAACGTTTCGAGGCTTGTTAACGATTGTAACTTCGTACCAAAGGCGTTTTCCTTCCGCGGTTGGGCATCGCGAAGATCAATTTTTCTGTGTTGTGTTGTTGTGAATACATTGCGGCGCTCTTTATAATTTTGCTCTCTTAAGGGGGTCTTCCACCCTAAACACATTTTTGTCAAATTAAAGGTTTTATCATCATATTTGAGTCAAATATGATAGAATATCCTCAGCTGACACAGGATCAGTAACTTTTACATTCGTCGTTGCCATAGTAACTAAGATAGGTCCATAACTTTTTAGGTCCATGACATGGCTATGTAACTAGCAAATAAACTCTGAAAATTTCGAACGAATTGATTCAGTATGAACAGTAGGAGAGTTTTTAGTATTTCGCAAAATGCTCATGTGAGACAAGCAATTTTAAAGTTTTTGCATATATTAGAATAACTTAGTTAGAACAATATAATTGAAAATGGAACAATAGACTAAACCAATCGCATATCTTTATCGCTCCGGGTAAAATCGTGGTTTTACCCTACGAAGGTGTAGAATTTGCTGAATTTCTCTGGTTTACGGTACATTTTCGTTCTTAAAATTACACGGATTTTATAAAGAACGCTATAAAGACTACATTTCTACGTTTTTCTAAAAAATAACAAATATTGGAAAATTTGGGTGGAAGACCACCTTAATCCGGGGGCGGCACTCAATCGGGGGTTGGCGCTTAAACGAGTAAATACGGTAATATATCTTATATCTGTGCCGTTTAATTTCCGGTTGTCCTTATTGCGTTGATTTAATAAAGCAACACTAGTTCTGTACTGGCATGATTTTCATGTGAATTTTGAAATTAAACAGCCGAAAAGCATTTTGGCAGTTAAATTCAATAAACATATGAAGAGTATATATTAACATACCTTCCATACGACATAAAACCAGCAGCTGAGAATAAACCTAGAGCAGAAATACATACAGTAAACGCTTGAGTAAAAACAACAAGATATGCATTCGAATGGTCAAATATACAAAATACACAGGCCTAACAAAAATATCCTATGGTTCTGGTTTCATATCCTGAAAAATAGGACAGGCAGGTATGAAAATAATTTCTTTGAAAGCAAAGGATGCGTCACATTGTGTCATAAAGCGAACGACGAAAAAAATAGTGTCAGTAGGTAAGCAAACGATCCAATAAACTATTAACGTCTGCGGAAAAGAGAGGATTGGCCGGGAAAGCGGAACCACAGGATATTGTTTTGTGAGGCCTTACTCCAGAGAATGATGCTTCTTCTAGACCCGTTCTTCTGAATTCTGCCAAAACAGACTTTAACATATACCCTTCCATCATAGACAAGTTCCTAAAAAATATGTGCATGAATTTATATACTGGATTTAATAAATAATTAAAGTCGCCTAGTAGTATTTATTCCACTCTGACTAACAAAAACAGTAACATGGCCGTCATCATTGATACCATGATGACCACCAATGAAATTACGGAGCTGAAAAACCACCACAGGAAAACATCGATTTATTCACGTTTAAAATAATGTTAGAATAGTTAGTTGTTAATGTTAGTTGCAGTTAAAATAATGAATAAAAGCTCCAAATAGATTTTAATGTTGGAGCAGTACAAAACCAGTTTAGGGAGTAGTTTATACAGTAGAAATTCTTGTTTGGGCACGTTCAAACAGTCATTTGCCATTTTTCCGAAATGCAAAACTGATAGGCCCTTGAATTTTTCCTGCAACTAAAATGTCAGCGATACCAATTACAATTGTGGACTAAACTGTTATAATAAAATAGATCGAAATTGTAAAAAAAATTCAACTACTTCATTAGCCCCTCTCTCCCCAACACATATGGATGGCCATTTAAAACCCACATTTAACTGAACCCATATTATTAAAACATTTTAAACCCACATTTTAAACCCACATTTTAAATCCACATTTTAAACCCACATTTTAAACGTAATTCAACAACATTGTCTTGGGGGAAGGGCCAAAGCAAAGGGGGATATTTTAGGTAAGATACAGGAATCAAACTGCAGTTTTACACAGAGACAAATTAAAATATTATTAGCAATTTATGTCCACAATCGCGAAGAACACCGGGATCGTTCATTTCAAATCGAAGCTAGATTTTAGAGATGAGCCGATCATCGGCAGAGCCGTTAACCGCCTCGTTTTCCTACAATCAGCCATCGGCCGATTGTCTTCCACTATCGGATTAGTCAGCGGCCAATTGTCTTTCTCTATCGTATCAGTGAGCGGAGTCTGTTTCGCTCTTGTTCTAAAAGTATCTCACATTCATTGACATTGTATATTACTCATGGTCATGTTATAGTAAAAGCATTTCAATTTTTCCTCATCGTATGTCTTTTGAAGAGAAAGAATAAAAAATTGTGGGGTTTTTTGGGGGTTTTTTTTTGGTTGTTTTTTTTGGGGGGGGAGGGGTTATATAAACAGTATTTTATTAAATAAATTAAATGCAATTGCTCCAAAAGCGTCGAAGCTTATCTAGGGAGCTTTCGCTAAAAAATTCTGTTTTTCAGACATGCGTAAAAATAGAGCAAACGCAGAAAACGCTGCTGACCTGCATGTCAATTTTCAGTTTTGTTGTGGTTAAAATAAAATCGCCATTCTTTCGTTGCGAAACAATTGAGTATTTCG